TCGGGAAAAGGCTAAAACCCGGGGGACAGGCACGGTTGTCCGGTCAAAATTTAGTTAGTGCCAGCATAAATAAAAACAACGGAACTTCTTTTGTACATTTGCAAATTTCATTTGAAGATGTAAACATTGCAACATTGGTAGATACTGGTAGTTCAATTAATGTTATTTCACAAACTTTGTATAATACTCTTCCATACAAATCTAAATTGAGTTTTGAACAATTTCCGTCTGAAGTGCAACTTGCCGATAATACAAAGGTTAAAGTTTTTGGTTTAGCAAAAATCTTGGTTACGTGTTACAATGAACAACATGCAATTGAAGTTTATATTTTGCCGTTTACGTCACATCCGCTAATTTTAGGAACTAATTACTTGCATAGTAACAATATCATTTTTGATTTTAGCAATTTTCCCGCTAATGTCAAGTCAGTCAAAGTGCAAACACACAAGAAACTTACAATTCATCCTAATTCCGAATGTATTGTATGGGGACATGTTCCTACTTATGTTCTGCCTGGATTAAATGGTGTTTGTTCGAATCATAAGTTCATACTCGAAAAAGGTTTAATGGTAGCTAAATCTCTTATCACAGTTTCTTATAATCACAAGGTTCCTGTGAAAGTTTTAAACGCAACAGCACTGAGCGTTATTATTCCGAAAGATAGAGCTATAGCGGAGTTTTTATCGCTTAATTCCGATTACAGTTATGTACCTATTGACCAAAGTTGTCCAGTTGTACAGAATATTGATATTGTAAATAATTGTGTTACACCTGATTTTAAAGATTGTAGTGATAGTTGTAGTAATGAATATATAGAGAAGGTAAAGGATCAATTCACCTTGTCTGATCACCTTTCAGAAAGTCAACAAACTGAACTTGCATCACTTCTTTACAAAAATATAGATTTGTTTTTTTACCGATGACAATCCTAACTTGGGATATACAAAACTAATCGAACACACGATTCATTTGAAGCCCGATGCTACTGGTAAACACCAGAAACCGTATCGATTACCACCATACAAACGTGAGATTTTGAGACATCACTTAGATAAACTTTTGAAACAAGGTATAATCTCACCAGTCAGTGAGACCGAAGATATGCCAATAACAAGTCCAATTGTTTTAGTAACCAAACGTTCGACATCTTCCGACCAGCATGCTCCTCAGAACTTTCGTTTTTGTTGTGATTTTTGTTACTTGAATTCTCATACACAGGAATTTAAGTATACAATACCAAACCTGCAGGAGCTTACTGAATCGTTTTCGGAAATGACGCCGAACTATATAACATCCATTGACTTGTCATCGGGATTTTTCCAAAAGGGCATAACACCTGAATCTTCCCATTATACAGCTTTTAATATATGTTTTGGGACTTATAAATTTTTGAGACTACCTATGGGTCTAAAAACGTCACCCAATACATTTCAATTGTTGATGGACAGGGTGTTACATGGACTCAAATTCAAATCTTGCTTACTAGTATGTTATTTAGATGATGTTTTAATAATATGTCCCGAGTCTTTTGACCAGCACATTTCTGATTTAAGTGAAGTACTTAGCCGTTTTAGGAATGCAGGCTTGAAGCTTGGACCGAAAAAGTGTTCTTTTGCGGCACAATCATGCGTTTGTTTGGGTCATCTTATTTCGAAAGATGGAATATTGTCACCTGCAGATCGTGTTCAAGCAATCCTGCACCTCGAAATGTAAAAGAACTTAGAAAACTTATTGGACTTTTTAACTGGTTAAAGAAATTTATTCCGAATTTTAGCGCTACAATTAGCCCTCTTACTAGACTTTTGTAGAAGAATCAAACATTCAAATGGGGAAAAGAACAAGACATATAATTTAACGATTTAAAAGATCGCCTTGTCAACTCTGAAATGTTGAGTTTTCCTCAATTTAATATGCAGTTTCGTTTGAGCGTCGATACATCTTCTCGTGAATTTTATATGTTGTACCAACTTGATCCGGAGGACAAAACTTGTAAACCACGAATTATTCGTTTTGGGTCTAAAAACCTTAGTCGTTGGCAGCAATCGTATGGGCCAACTAAATTATAGCTCTTAGGAATGGTTGTGAGTATATTGGATTGTTCTGACTATCTTAGAGGAAACCAGTTTATTGTGGAATGCGACCACCAAGCGCTGAAGCCTTTATATCAAAAGCAATTTAAGGGTGCAATTTATGAGCGTTGGCTTTCTATTCTTCAACAATTTAATTTCGAAATAGTATATAAGAAAGCAGAGCAAATGGAAGTACCAGACGCTTTGTCGAGATGCCAAAATCTCCATGCAGACATTGTCGAAAGTCCCGTGGAAGATGACCCGTATTTTCCTTTCCTTCCGGACAAAATTGGACATATAACATTACCAAACGGTCAAAACTTTGCAAATTTATTTCAAAATAAACTAGAGGCCGTTCAGGCTATACATGTGTCAACAGAAGAACAACAATCAGAACGTTCTGATCCATATGATTCCGATACAGATGAACCGCAAGATGAAAACAAACAATTTAAGATAAAGCGTCAGCGCATATTACATGAATCGTCAAAATCAGATACGGACATTGGTATTGATAAAGTTGTTAATGACAAAATTTTAGCTAAAATTTCTATGCCTATCAATAACATTAAAGAGATACAGCGGCAAGATCCGTCAGTGTCCCCCATTATAGACTATTTAGAAAACGATATACTTCTTGATTTACTAAAGGAAGCAAGATGTGTGCTATTGAAATCTAACGATTTTGCGCTCATTGATGGTATACTGTTCCATTCAAGAGTTGCAAAATCTAAACGCAACAAAATGATGTCACATTATCAAATTGTTATACCTCGAGCGATGATACCTTCTGTATTAAAAGTGGTTCTTGATTCGCCTCTCGGTGGCCATGTCGGAATGAACAATACACTTGACAGAGCCAAGGAACATTTCTTTTTTCCAAGAATGGGAAAAATTATAACTGATTATGTACAAACATGTCATTTTTGTCAAGTCCGGAAAGTTACAAATTTTAAAACCAAGCAAGCCATTGTGGCATTTCCGACTCCTTCTGAGCCGTTCGAAGTGTGGCAAATCGATTTATGTGGTCCGTTTCCAAAGTCAGTAAATGGAAATACTTATGTTTTCACTGCGGTCGACATGTATAGCAAATTTATATTTGCGCATCCATTGAGAAATAATGATGCTTTGACAGTTTGTGAAGTAAAAAGTTAAATAACAAAAATACTGAACTCCGAGGAAAATTCAAAACAGAAAGTCCCTAATCAAATGGCAAAATCAAAAGCACAAACACATCAAACGAATGGACAAAAACTGTCATATTCCTGACTTGGTACAGGCAATTTCTTATGTAGAAAATGGTGGATTGAACCTGGTTTTATAACGCTAGCCCTCTCACTTGTATGACAGTCGCATCAAATTCCCTTATATTGACAACGATGCGTGATTAAAACTAACAGACATAATAGGTAAAAATGTCAAAATAGGGATACAGCAGTCAACACCGTGTCACAATCTTAATCACAACAAAAACAAACAAATATTTAACAAAGAAGCACAAAAAAGAATATATCACATTTAACAACCTCGTTCATTGCTTACTTAATTTTGTATTTTATTTATGTATGCCAAATCAACCCATAAAGGATCGAGGGATTTTAAGCACTTGGACCGAATCGTAATTTTAACATTAACTCTGGCGTAGAATGACGTCAGAATGTAAACGTCACACAGGTAGAGATATAAAATAATTTTGTCGTTCAAAGTATGCAAAAAATATAATAGAACAATAACATAATGGCGGGATGTTTAAAGTACAGAGACACGTCATATGTATCAAAGAAACATAAAAAGTCACACGGACATAGCACACAAGTAAAAATGAAAAAATAATACAAACAACACAATGACGGGATGCATAAGTACAGAGTCACATCATATGTATATCACCAAAAACAGACCAAACAGTAAAAGTAATATTAATAAAGACAAATAAAAGAACACTTTAACACGTTATTAAGATGATAAAGAGCGTCAGTACGCAGAATCTATACTTCAAGACCATCATGTATTATTTGTGAAGTTGATACGGAATATTTATCCACAAGGTCTTGGTACCTTCCGATAACTTTTTTAGAAAAAGGACGAGACGTTCTTTGACATACCCCTGGTTCATCAACTTTTTGCTCAGACACTGGTGACGTTTTACAAAGTCTGAGTAGGAACTGCAAGCTCTTGCATACCGAATAAGTTGGAAATGTATATCCCATATGCAGGTGAAGTTGGTATATTGCTACTAAGGTGGGGGAAATTGATAATTTTAAAATTAAAATCGTCTCGTTTGTCATAGATTCTGGTACTGAGATGACTGTGTATGTAAAATTCGATGTATAAGTCTAAAAATGAGGCGGAGGGAGCCGTGTCTGTTGTTTCTTTAATTTCTAGTTCTGGGGGATTTATTAATGGAACCCAATCAGAAAAGTTCGGATTGTTAAGGGCATACGATACAGTAGCAGGGGCAGATAATTACGTTTTCAAAACTGTTTGTGTTGTTTTCCCGACGTTGTTAATCAGAACGTTGTAATTTCGCGATGTTTCTAATAAGAACGATTACATTTCGCGACCATTCGTCACAACTCGGCCGATTCCGTACCTTCATCTAACCTCGTCCGTGATACGTAGGTTTCCATTACTGATCTCCTGTAAAGGAGGGGAATAAAATATTAAAAATATTGCAATTTTACAAATCATCATGGCTGCGCCCATCAGAAAAAATAGACCCTTTGAATGACTGAATATTATCCATATTATCATGTTATATTTCGTTTGTGAGGAATTTATGTTATCATGGTTAACATTGAATACTTATATATAAATTCCGGTGGTATAATATCCTATCTTCAAAATGTTTGATAATTTTAATATTCATTACTGACATTAGACAGTAGTTCATGTCGTGAGCTTTGCGTAAAATATGTAAATATAGCAATGTGAATTCAGCTGCAAGTATGTGAATATTCCTTTGAAATTGACAATGGACATTTTTGTCACCGTATTGACTTATTTGTGAATTAACAATGAAATGTACAATGAAATGTAACAAATTTTACATTCATAACAATGGTATGCAATGGTATGATCAAACATAACTCACAAATTATCATGTATATAGTATATATATATATATACATCACACTATGCCTATGACTATGTATCGTGCAGACCTGATAATTCACTTGTTTTAATTTTGTTTACCCAAATTTATTGTATAATGGATACACCAATTAAAACTGTATCCAATAGCAAGTGCTGTTTGTTGTGTGGTGACACTGAAAAGAGACTCCATTGCCTTACCAAACATAAATCTTCAAATGAAGGATATATTCAATCAATCGAAACAGCATTAGATAATAAATTGGATTCAAGTCTGCTTGAATTTATGTTTATTTGTGAGAAATGTGCTAATGCATGTAAACATTTTAATAATTTTAGAGACCGAGCTAAAAAACATTTAGATTGTTTTGTATCAAACCTAAGTAACCGTAGAACAAAAAGGATGCCTAAAACACCTCCTTCTTCCATGAAAATCAGTACTGCTGATCAAATTGAAAAATCCGTAGAAAAACTGAGAAATTTAAATTTATGTGAAAAAGAAACCAGTGCTAGGGTAGCCAAAAAATCTAGACAGCAACTAAATTTTAGTACAGAGTTAGAGCATGCATATTCTCAACAAAATGTCATCAAAATGCAACATGAGGAAGAAGATCAAGTGCTATTAAATGATCATGAATATTCAATTCCAAACAAAGCTCTTGAAACCAGCGAAAAAGTGTCAGAAGATTTTATTAAGGAAGCTGTGTCAATAAATACATCTATCAATTCTTACAACAGTCATGACAGTCTCGATAAGCAGCTTTTGTCTGTATGTAAGCTTGGCAAAAGTGTGTTGTTTAAATCCAGTGCTAAAGACCTAAGTGAAAGAAATTGGTTTCTAGATATAGGAAGAGAAATGCTACAACACTGTCCAGAATTTCTGTCATTACTTCTTTCAGCAATAGGTAAATTGATTAAATACAATTGTAACTAGTAGTTTTTATGTCACCCGACTGCATACAGATTTAAAATATAGGGATCACTATCCACTGTCTTGCATCTTCTTCAGTGTTTAAAAAAAAATGGTCACACTTTTCTCAACAACTATATTGGGCACACACTTTGACTCAAAGCTAAATGAAAAATATTTTTATAGCAAAAAACTTTAATATTTACATGTACCATACATGTAGATGATAGAATTAATGTCTCCTGACTTTGAACAGGCACTTATATTGTGTTAGCTGGTTACAAATGAGGGAAGTGCCAGTGGTAAAATAAGCTAAACAAAAGAAACACATGTTTGAACTCATTACCTTGACATAATACCTAACAACTAACAAACAGACCAAGTACACAAAGTAACAGTGAAATTGAGAATGGAAATGGGGAATGTGTCAAAGAGACAACAACCTTACCAAAGAGCAGAAAACAGCCAAAGACCACCAATGGGTCTTCAACACAGCATATATATGAGTACTGACAATTACTTATTGCTAACTAAATGTTGTTCAAAAGCCAATATTACCAGTTTCCACTACATGTATCTTTATTTTAGAGTGATTTTGTTAACATAACTGATCAGGATAATTCTTCGTATGAGGGTTCGATTCCCTCCCTAGGTAACATATGTACGTAATCTTTTGAGCTGGTGCAAAGCGGGTAAATAGCCTAGTGGCCCCACGTTGAATCTTTCCTGATCAGTTATGATGACAGTATCATTCTGAAATAAAGGTTAACAAATTACATTAAAAAACTATAAACATGATAAAGATGTCAGATATTTGAGTTTTTTATCAAATATTTTCATGAACAGTTTGCATAATGCATTATGGCTCTCTTGATCTTTCTTGCTGATAACACCACTATAAACTTTCTGTTAGTACATATCCTATGGATTAAGTGTAAAAAAATATGTTAAAACACTTTTAAAAACACGTGATCTTGTGCAAAACAATTGCTTATATAGCCGATTACTAGCCTTATAATTCTGAATTAAAAGAAACCTTTGTATTACAATACAATAGGGCTATGAAACACAAGTTGATAGGTTGTAACTGCAAACAAAATGGTCACGGCTCTTAAAACGAGAACAGATCACAACTTTTTTTTTAATCATGGAGCACAGAAATTTATCAATGGCACAAGAAAATTAATTGAAGGCGCAACACCATCATAAAACAGGTCATGGAGATCCATGTTTAACGAATGATTAACTCGACAGTGAGATGATCAGGTGTTACTTATTTGTGTCATGAGCAGTTACCTTTCTTTTCAGTCATTGAAATCAATTAATCAATATATTTTAGTTCTAATAAAAAATAATAATATGTTAAAATAAACAAACTCAAAGTACTGCACCAATATTACCTAGATATAAGAAGATGTGGTATGAGTGCCAATGAGACAACTCTCCATCCAAGTCAAAATTTATAAAAGTAAACCATTATAGGTCACAGTACGGTCTTCAACACGGAGCCTTGGCTCACACCGAACAGTAAGCTATAAAGGGCCCCAAAAAATTACTAGTGTAAAACCATTCAAACGGGAAAACCACAATGTAAAACTATGTTGTTCTTAATACCGTAGGTGACAAAATCACAGCTGAATCAAAACTAGCAACAGTTTGCACCATATATGGTATGTTGATGCACTGCAGGAATACACGAGCTAGTGCTATCCAGAAACTTTACACTTCCTTTTGTATCAGATATCATACAGACAACAAGGTTTGTCAGAAGGCAAAATTGATTTCGTGTTTGTTTGTTTTTTTATTTTGTTTTTTTTCCTATAAATTCAAAGAACCAGATATCAAGCTGTTTTGGAACATATTCAAACTCATTTTTCTGAAAACCACCAACATGACCAACTTTTTCTGTAAACATTCGAGCTAAAATTGTGGATTGTCCCAATGCCTCTAGAAAATACATGAAAAAAAATCATCAGGAAAGAGGAAAGTCTTGGACCTAACTGTATTTTTAAATTGAACACTTTGAAGGTCCAACTTTAAAGACATTAAAACTGAGAAATTTTGATCCCTTTTCCGTATGTTTTTTTTTTCAAAAGCACAATAGTTAAAGTGCATTTCTATTTATTTGACATTTCTCATTTAAAACACCAATTTTATACTGATATTTCATTGTATTTGCCTTTGATTAAAACAAAAACAAATGGTGTCTAAAGATACTAAATATATGCTCTTATCTGGAATACTGAAACACTTGGTTTTATTTTCAATATTTTAATTATTTTTCCTCATATATGTTATCTGAAAAGTTTTATAGAATAAAGAAAGGAAATTGGAATGTGCCAAAAAAACAACAGCCTAACCAAAATGTACAAAACAACCCAAGACCACCAATTGACATTAAAAGTGTCATGTTTGCTTAGATTCGGTACAATTTATGTCCATTTTTGCATACTTTTATAATTATTTTCTCATTGTTTATAGTGAAAGGTCAATTTCAACCTACTTTATAGCCTGAATCAACCTTATGGTTTCTGTTTTATAACATGTTTAATATCTTGCATAATCCAAGCTGGCAAAAACAATATGATTTATCTAAATGAATTGATAATTACCTATTTTTTGTACACCTTGGTATGGGCTTGTCAGTTAATTGTTTTTGTTTTTGTTGATGTTGATTATTGCTTGATTTACTTATATGTTACTATTTAGGTCAAATATATTAACCTATTGTTAATAAATTGGTCCTTAACTTGCTGTTAATTGTTACTTGTTATTTTTGTTATTTTTCTTTGATTTATAGAAGTTTTGTATGTTGATGAAGCTGAAAAACAACATTTTTTTCTGGAGAGCACAGAGGTTTGTGGTTATCAATTTATACTTTACATCCTAAAGAGGTAATACATGTATTCTTTAATTTTCAAGTAGTTTTAATAGAAACTATTAAATTCAGAAAATAATTCACTTAACTCTTATATTTTTGAACTAATGAATGAAAGACTGTTTAATGTCAAATAGCAAGTTATGTGTATATTTAGGATCAAAACATGATAATGGAATAATTGATAAACAGATAAATAGTTTTCATTAGACTGACACATTTAGCAGGATTTTATTTGTGATAGTTCACACAGAAACGGTCCACAGTGTTTTACATAAAAGAGATATTTTTTTTTGTTTCCTTTACTTACAAATATATTATCTGTCTCATTTTGATTAATTAAACAATATGTCTAAAATGAAACAAAGCTTTGTATAGTGTTTAAGGGTTCTTGAACATTTGAAATTTTAACCAACTTCTAACATTTTATAGATTCTACAATAACAAACTTTAAACATGATCATGATAAACCAATATGTTGAAATGAAGATTTTTAATTATCTTTCAGCTATTACACAGACTTAATAAAGTTCATATAACCATGTCAGATGAGTCAAAAAGACATATCATGAGGGACTTGTCCAACCATTCAGATGAGATGATAAAAGAACAAATCGCTAAGGGCAATGATGGCAAATTGAATGGGGATAACCTAGATATATACGTCACAACAAATGATATTAGAATGGAAAACAAGAACAAAGATTACCACTTTTTTGCGTCAGATATCACCTTTGATCGAGTAAAGGTTAGCCATCTAAGTAATTCAACACCAATAGGCAATACTGATACAGTCGCTTTAAAGGAAATGATACCTTCATTGGAAGAAGATGCCTTATACAAAAATGCACTGAAAGTGATACTGAGTCGAATTATAGTTAACTACTGTGAAAGCTTCAATTGGATGAAACCTATTATTCCCAAGCACATTCAACATCCTCTTCAAGAAGTAATGAGCCAAAAATCATCAATCCATTGGTTGCCAATCATGCTAAAGAATGAAGCCAAGTATGCTGACTGTGTTCAGATAATGGCTTCATATGAAGACCATCTGTCAACTTGGTACAGAAAGGCAGGAAGAGGTTCTTAAATACATTTTATTATTAAGCAAAACTTACACCCATAAGTCGTAAATGCATAGTAACAATTACATTTTACAACATTATCATTAGGACATTTAGATGAAAATAAATACTTGTGTGCATGATTTCATTTAAATTAAACATACCATACCAATACTCAAATGATTTGACAAAGTATTGACAGATTCGATCATTCTTACTTTCTAAGTATTAATATCATTTATGAGATTTTCTTATATATGTAAAAAGAAATATTGTTTACATCAATCTGTATTTAATTTTTCCTTTTCAAAATGTTGTATGCTGATGATTTCTAGTATGTTTATGAAACTATAATCAGCTGACCTTTCAAAAGTCATTAAGGCAATTAGAAATAATGGTTGTTATGTGTATTTACAAACCTTAGACAAAATGTTACAACAGGTGAATTTTTGCATCAAAAACATGCAATAGTTGAAAATTTCCCTCTCAATCTGTTATCAACTTAAGCAAATATAAAAAAAAATACAAAAGTCACATTACCGGTATGTTAACCGACCAATTTAGAAAAGTTCTTTAAAAAGTACAAATGAATCAATGGACAGTTTTTGTGTTCAATTTCAGAGTTTATCTGTACATTCAAAAATTCTTGGAAAAGGGAAGGGTAAGACAACTCTCCATCCAAGTCAAAATTTATAAAAGTAAACCATTATAGGTCAAAGTACGGTCTTCAACACGGAGCCTTGGCTCACACCGAACAGCAAGCTATAAAGGGCCACAAAAGTTATTAGTGTAAAACCATTCAAACGGGAAAACCAACGGTCCAATGTATATAAAAAAGGAGAAACGAGAAATGCATGTTTAATTGCATTTTTATTAGTTTCATAGAAATATTCTTTAACAGGTGGAGACCTTGACAACTTACAAGTTCCAGTAGGTGGGGACCAATTGACCAGGGTTAGACTCCAAGGAGCGAAATCCTTAAGAGCTGGAGCATTCACTGCAGAAGACAGATTGGAGCATCTAACCCCAATTGTTGTGGAAATGTTTCACACATTGCAAGACTTTTTAGAGGTATAATTTGTCATTAAAATGAATAAAATAAAATGGGACAGTATTTCAACTACTAACCAAAACATGATGATAAAATGAGGCAAACAAATTAATCTCTGCTTTAATATCTAATTTAAAAGTTTTATTTTAACTGATTTGAGTCATGTTTTCTATATTATTCCTGATTTTATTAAATGACAGTCATATAAAAAAGAAGATGTGGTATGATTGCCAATGAGACAACTCTCCACAAGAGACCAAATGACACAGAAATTAACAACTATAGGTCACCTTACGGCTTTCAACAATGAGCAAAGCCCATACCGCACAGTCAGCTATAAAAGGCCCTGAAATGATAATGTAAAACAATTCAAACGAGAAAAATAATGGCCTAAAAAATGAAAGAAAAACAAATATATAACACATAAACGAACGACAACCACTGAATTACAGGCTCCTGACTTGGGACAAGCACATACATACAGAATGTGGTGGGGTTAAACATGTTAGCAGGATCCCAACCCTCTCCCTAACCCGGGACAGTGGTGTTACAGTACAACATGTTCTCTTGCAAATAGCATTTTATTATTCCTTTTACTTTCTAGAAAATGTATAAGAGATTCTTTAAGACTGACAGTGGTAGAGACAAGGGGACTCTATATAGTCTGAAACTTCTAATTCAGAGAAGCAATGTCAATGGAAAGGTCAAAAGTCGTTTTGAGGTATTTATTCATCAACAGTAAATAATGAAATCTTCATCTTTTCACTGTTACCGCAATATTAATTGTTATAGCTATAAGATAGATTATGTACAGGAAAAATCACACGTCAGTTATGATCAGGAAGAAAAAGTCTAACCTTCTTAATACATCTGCACAACCAAGAATTTAGTTCAGATTGGAAGTTATAAAGTAAAAAAAAAAATTATTTATCTTTTGTAGATAAATTCAATTAACCCGTTTCTTAAAAGTGAGCAGTGGAAACTTAAAATCAGGACACATTAGTATTTGAGAATAATTTTTCCTATCAATATCATAAGTTTGCACTGATATATAAAGTTATGAAAGTTAAAAAAAAACCTTTAGATTTATATACAGTCAAACCTGCTTAAGAGACCACCTGTATTAAGCAAAACCTGTGTTAAAAGACCATCAATTTTAGATCCTTCTGTAGTACATTTCATATAAATTGAACCTGTATTAAGAATGTTCGCTCCTCTTGTTTTTGATTTTTGTCAGATATTCGAAATCCTCTGGCCATGGTTTTATCCATGTTTTTCCATTAAGAAATTTTGTCCACTAACCCCTACTTTCCATAATTTTATTACATATAGTTTAAAAAGCCATATTTGAAAATCTTATAAAATCCTTGTTTTTTTTTCAATTTTTTTTAAAGAAACAAGGTGCCAATGTTAAATGTATGAAAAATCTGGAGAGAATCATTTCCCGCCAAATTTTCAATGGCTTATATCTCGAAAACAAGCTAGCACACTTACCCTTCATTTTTTTCTGCTTTTTTAGTTCCTTCATTTATATACTATCAATTTATGGCTGTCTTTCAAAAAGCTTGTTATTTTGAAACAGAGTAGCGAACATCCTTAAGAGACCACCTGTCTTAAGAGACCATTTTTTTGCACTCCCTTAAGTGGTCTTTTAAAACAGGTTTGACTGTATATAAAAAAGATGTGGTGTGATTGCAAATGTGAAAACTCTTCACAAGAAACCAAATGACACAGAAACTAACAACTATAGGTCACTGTACGGCCTTCAACAATGAGCAAAGCCCATACCGCATAGGCAGCTATAAAAGTTTTTTTCAGTTTAATTAAATAACAAATCTTTGTGTTATGCCAATAAGTTCATGAAAATGTTGATGAAAGATTATGTGGATAATAGCTAACAATTTGGTTAATATTTTAGGCACACGAAGATTTTGCCTTAACTGTCGGCTGTGCATATTTCTTGAACTTCATTATGCAGCACTTTAAAATGAAAGATCTGGCTGATACACCATCACACCCAAAAATGCAGAAGAACATCAAAATGATGCATAACAATCACAAGAAGGAACTTTGGTCAATACTTATGAATGATATTGTAGATGAACTTGTAGAAACATTTCCAAAAAAGGTAGTCACTAACATTTGAAAGTTTCACCTACATACCAAATATATTGTTTAATTATATATGTTGTGTACAAGTTATCAGTGTTTTATGAACTGCTTATCACAAATGGATGATACAAGCACACAGTCAGTTGTTTCCCATATATCTGTCATATTTCCAGTTTAATACTGAGTATTAATATAATACACAAAAGACTTTTAATGGATATGATTTTGTTATAAGGAGAAAATAAAAATTGAATTTAAACCATTCAGTTGTCATTGTTTCCAGTTTTTGAGCAAGGAGAATAGCACTTAATGTAACAGGTTGAAGTATATAAATTTTATCACCTGGTGCAAATAGGTATGTGTCAAAAAATATATAACTTGTACAAAAACACTGTACAATTTATAATGTATGTACCAACTGGCATCTTGTACACAACATATATATTTCTGTTTTAAATTTTTCAGCAATTATACAGTCCATAATTATAAAGGCTGTGAACACATCTACTTCACACAATGCATTACAACTAACAAACAGACAAAGAATACATTTACAAAATAATAGTACTAAAAGCTGACATGTACAATTTCAAAGCTAATTATGAGTGTTTCTTGCCACTTTCATTTTAGGGTGATTTTGTTATCATAACTGATCAGGATAATTCTACGTTTGAGGGTTCAAATTCTAGGTAACATATGTACATGTACATAATCTTTTAAGCTGGTTGCAAAGTTAGTAGTTAGCCTAGATATGTTTATAATAACGTTCTTAAATAAAGTTAAAATATAAGATATTAATTTTTTCTAGATTTCATGAACAGTTAGCCATGTGTCCCTCTCCCCCTTTATTGTGTTTTCTTGATCATACTTGTTGACACAATCACTCTAAAATAAAGGTTTAAACAAAAGATGAAAAAAAATACTATAGTACAAAGTTTACACTTAGAGACAATATAGGTCAAAGAACAAATTGTCAGTTCTGAATCCCAGGTCGATTATACTGTACAGTGAATTTCCTGTGATATCAATTTGTTATAAGATATGTCTGACAGCTCTATGTTATCAAATATGTTATTTGGGTGATATCTATCTTCATATTATTTTTAGGCTACACCAGTGAAACTTCAAGTGGAAATTTATGGACAAGTATTTTTTGTACAAAGCCAACAACAAGGAAACATGCTTGCCTTTGAACTATTTATAGGAGAGAGAAAATATATCATTAACATAACCCATGAACAAGCAGCTGCTGGTGCAAAACTCTCCTTAAATGACTTAAACAACACTAGCATTATTATATCCGTTATCAAAGACGAGAGAGATGACTTATACAACTATGTTAACCAGTTTATGCAGTGGTATTTCATTATTCTAAGCTTTAAAGATACAATTTCTGAAGGAGATATTTATAGAAATAACATTAATCTGAAGTTTTGTATACCTTTCTTCTTCAGCCATTCAAATTTATCGAAGTACATGACCGAATGTATCGATTACATTTTGAAGACAGAGATCATGCTGTCAGAAAAAATGGCATTAAAAGTTAGAGCTGGTTCATTTGTCAATATAACTGGCAGAAAAGGGGAAAACAAAGCAGCTGATTTGCAAAAAGAAAACCAAGTGATGGTACTGAAAGACTTGATTAGGGGTTTAGGGTCAAACAAAACAGAAAATTCCATTATAACAATATCAAAAGCAGCACCTGTTGTAAAACAAATTTGTGAAAATGTGGATACTATGCTAGGTGTGATTGATAAAAAAACTAGGCATAAAAAAAGATCTTTTGAAGACGACGTTAAGGAAATAATCAAAGAACTTGAACCCTTGAAACCGTGGGTAAAGCAAACAGGTCGTCAGTTGTTCAGTTTCAAAGAAATAAAGAAATCATCATTTTCGTTTGATCGATCTGATTTTGAAACCAGCGTGATGAGAACAATTAATCGACTTAAAAGAGACCTTCCACCACTACACAATGAAGGAGATGAAGATGAAGACAAAGATGAAGATGAAGATGAAGATGAAGAAGATAGTGATGAGCAATAAACATTTTTGAACAAATAAAAGCACTTATATCAAAGTAAACATAAAAAACATTTGTTAATATTACATTCTTAAATACAAGACTAATGTTTCTAAGGCAAAAAAAAAAATATATGTCTGTTTAAGGTTACATACTTTTAAAAAATAGGGTAGGTAGGTCGGTATTTCCTTTTTATTTTTTTTTTTGTGACATGATTTTGAGTCCTGCCGTTTCGTCTTGTCATGGTCCAAGTTGATCATGGGCCGAGTTTACCAGTTTTTTAATGATTGGATTATTTCCCTTGGTTATTGGTTGGAAAAAAATGGCGGCATAGTGTTTATTTCATCACGAGAGTTGCGAATTTCCTTAAAATAGCTGTCATATTCACGATTGTGAACATTTGGATGTATCAGGCAATTGATTTATATTATTTGCAACACTAACTTTGCTTTTGACAGAAGTTCAGTTTATTTTTCACTTTACAACGGAAATAAAATGACTTAGGGTCGGTCGGGTAACCGTAAACAGACATATATTTTTTTTGGCCTAATATACATGTATAGAATTCAATATTTTTCAGTTTTAAATCAAATATGGAAAAAAAAATATGATATTGTTGCTGCTTCAGGAAACTACTTGAATATTGAAATAAGGGGGGGGATACAGAAGTTCATATATTAAATTTTTGATTGAATGTTTACATATTTAAGGTGCTTCTATTAAAATTCAATTTACAAAATTTGATGGATAGACTTAAAAGTATAAGAGTGTTAAAAATAATTAAAAAAAAATTATAAATGAAATTTCTTTGATTAAAGATATTTTTATTTAAACATGTTAAATGAAAATTTTCTTTAATTTTGTATTTTTCAATAATTGAATGTTATAATCATAAGCTGCAATAGTGTCCTAAAGAAGAAAGTTTCAACAACAACAAAAAATTTGGTTTACATCACTTTTTTTTAAATGCAAAAATCATGACTTAGATGGAAGTTTGTCTCATTGGCACTCATATCATACCATATATTCTATTTACATAAACATGTCCTTATTAAGGTAGATAGGGTGTCTTCCTCCATCTTGGATTTTGAAATACCAGAAAACAATCGGTCTAGATCTTTAATAATTTGTGCAAATTTTGAGAGAAGTCAGTCATTCATGTGTAAGAATTTTCATTTCAATATAGAAAATGACATGTTTTATCATATTTATGGTTGTATTTTACAAAAAACAGAATACTTTTGTTTGATTCAATTTTTTCCAACTTTGTCACATAAGGGGAGGCAACTCAAATGTAAGGGCAGATAATTCAGATAAAGTTACTTTTACAATAGAATGTGTTAGGAATTTACCTATTTTATTATGTAGCAAGAAAACGGGTCCCGTGACCCTATTTTTTCTTTTTCTTATCTGAAAGCATAATATTAGAGCTATCTTCTCATATTTAATCTCAAAATTCTATGATTTAGTTTTCGTTTTATGGCAGAAAATTGGGTTTTTCATGCATAATCTATACAAAAATCTGTCAATTTTGCACAACTTGTAGCGTGAAAATAAGCCCTGTGACCCATTTTTTTTTTTTTTTTTTTTAAAAGCATGAAATAAACTACATTTTGGCAAATTATTAAAAAATTCTATGGATTATAATTTAGACACCCCATCTACCTTAAGGTCTTTTCTTGGTTCTAACTTAATTGCTTAAGCTACAGAATGAACAACATCTTTTCTTGTCACCAGCATATAATACATCATCAAATCCAAAATATTTTACCAATAGTTTCCTGAAGCAGTTATTTTCATTTTTACAATATTCAATTACAGAACTGGTCAACCCTGCACGTGCTTTTGATAAGTCACTATTGTTAAAATACATAATAGCTTCAGCATTGTCACCATTTCGACCAGCTCGTCCTATTTCCTGCATGTATTTCTCTAATGTTGTAGGTGGTCGGCAATGAATAATTCTCCTTATAGATGGTGCATTTAGTCCCATGCCCAGGGCAACTGTTGCTAGTACCAGTCTTAATATAGGCTTACTCTGGCAAAGGTCCTTCACAATATGTTGCTTCATAGTCTCTGGATAGTCAGAGTGATATTGAGCAAACATTCTATTTTCAGTAATGTTTTCTCCATGGTATCCCTTTTCCTTCAGTTCATACTCCAAATAGCGGAAATAGTACCCAAGACTCTCCAAATTTTCCACATAGATTACAGTTAATGGAAAATCACTTTGCTGCTCATATAATTGTTCCGCTATAGGTTTAATCAGTTCATCCAACTTGTCAACTTTCCTGATATTTGGGAGTCTTCTCCTTACCTCCAAAAATATATTGGGACGATCCGGATTACTAATAATCAGAGTTGTTTCCCTATAGTTCAATATAACTTCCAATTCCTTGAGTGCCTTTGGTGTAGCTGTTGCTGTAAGAGCAAGATGCCCTGCTGTTTCAAAAAGGCATGTTAACTCACCCAACTTCATAAATTCTGGTCTAAAACTTTCACCCCTACAAAGAAATAAGGAATTATTTACAGGGCACTGAATTCACCTCCGAGGATTGACATGTTCTCTTAATTGGATTAATACACAGATGTATATATATATATATATGTGTCATTAGAAGATGAAGATTGACATTGACAAAGCTGTATCATTAAACCTTATTCATGAAACATGTATTTCAACTTAATATTCATGCATTTATAAACTTTTTTTGTGTTGGAGAGAAATTTCTGTTTGTTAATTGATTATTTATCAATTTGTATTATTGTCTTTTCTCATTTTCTTTCTCAATTGGAAAGAATTGAGTGTTTTATTTTTTATACATGTAAAATCTGGTTTCCTTATGGACAAGATTTAAATGCGCTATGTGAAGATTCGGTTTTTCTTGATGTTATTGTATATTGCCTGATTTGCCACTATTTGTTAAAGTTTATCATATGGGAATGTAGTATGATTCAATTACAATGCTACTAATAATGTGGACTTCAAAAATGATCAAAGCCTCTACTTTAAACAGCTATAAAAGGCTCAAACATAACATGCATAATAGAAAGTTAAATTATGTATACACATACAGTATAGCTGAGGCTTTCCATGAAATATCTGTAAATAAAAGTCATATCTTTGTTTTGAATGATTTTTGCAGTAATTTACCTATATCATGTACAAATGTATATACTTTAGAGCAGTATTGTTAACAAAACAGAGCAGAAAAAACTCAACACAGGTCCACTATGCTACATATGTAGCAACTTGATACTACCGCAATTACAGAATTTAGAAAAAAGTCATACATGTGATAACTTTGCTTTTTTTTTTTGTTATTATATTGCCAACAAACTGATCAAGACTCAACGTGGGGCCACTAGGCTTACTACCCACTTTGCAACCAGCTGTAAAGTTTATGTACATGTATGTACATATGTTACCTAGGGAGGGAATCGAACCCTCGTACGTTGAATAATCCTGATCAGTTTTGTTTACAATATTATTCATGAATATCATTATGCAACTTTTTTTAAAGAAATAAGTTTTGGGCTGTTAAATATAATTTCAGAAGTTTTTACAAATTTGTCTTCAATATAATTATAACCAATGTAAGCATAGGAGATAAATAATTGATATTGACCAAGTTTTTTTTCTAAATTATTCATACCACTCTGAAATCATGTGAACTTCATCAATTACTATGCAGCAAACATTGGTCTGGTAGGCTTCTGATCTCATTAACTTCCCAAATTTCTTATTTGAAAAAGTTTCTGGATGCACATATAGGATTTGGTACTCTCCTTTTTGTAGTTGTTCAAATGGCACATCTGTTTCCAATTCATTTTCAGTGTCATCATCTTCTTCAAAGGTTATTCCTTTGGTGCCTGTTTGGTAGGATAAACATGTATATTTATATGTTTGTACTAGATGAATTTCATGTAGGCTCTAGATCTGTATTAGACACTTTTAAATCTAAAAATTGTGAGTTAGAGTATAATTGAAACTTCAACTCGAAACATTATACATGTATATATTCTATACATGTAATGTATGTACATGTCCAAATTTTAAAGTCACACCCTAATTTCTTGTTTTCAATTGTTGCTGTATTTCATTTTTTTTTGTCAAATATTTTGTATATAAAGGGGTCAGAGTGTAGGCTTTATCTATTACTTTCCTATACAGTGTGATTTAAAGCTCGGGCCTCTGCATTGAAGGTCAAAGTGCAACATAAAATTGCTAACATAACATGTGATTTTGGATTTTGGCAATTACACTACATCTTCTTATTTTTATGTACATGTTCATGTTTGTTCAGCAATGGAGTTATTAATATGTGATAAACATGATAAACAATAACTGATAATGTGTTTCAAAATTAAATGATGCCAAAATATAGAGGTTTATGTAATATTCAAGTTCTCACTTAAGGTGTGTCACCTTTATATATAATTTATATTAAACATTGTTAAACATGTACTGTTCTTTATTTGAAAATTTGTATTTGTAAAATAAATACAGTTGCTCAAATAGATTTTTTTTTATCTATATCCAGCCATTATCATGACAATTTAACACAATACAAAGAAACAGCTAGTAAAGCATCCAATTGGAATTTCATTTATGAAATCTTATAAATCAGAAAGAACTAGTGAATCTGTGAGCTGCAATGTACGTCACCTACACACCTTGATCATAAAATCTCAATCGTTGAACAAATGTTGTTTTAATATTCAGAACACTTATACTTATATTTCAAGTATTCATATTCTCGCTGCGTTGAAGACCCATTTGTGGCCTCTGGCTGTTATCTGTTCTTTGGTCGGGTTGTTGTCTCTTTGACATATTCCCTATTTCCATTCTCAATTTTATCATGTTTATATTGCTTTTCTTATGCAACATTTTTTGAAAACACATGAATTGGTATCCCATGAATATATATGAATCCATAGTAGGAGAAATAGAAAATAAAGGAATATACATGAATAATGTATATATTCAATGACAGTATATATATGCAGTAAACATGGTAAATGTGCGTGGTACAAAATCCCACAAAATGCATAGAACAAAAAACAAATTATCAAAAAAAAAAGCTTTTATTACTTCTCTTCATCTTGACAGTACTGGCCCACTGGGGATCATCAGGAATGAACAAATCATTCATACAAGTTCAGGACAGCCCATAAACTGCATAGTACTAGTGTCGACTAACTCTTAACAAATATATCATAATTTTATTCCTCTATACAGGTATAAACACCATATAGAGGGTTAGTTCGAATTCCCAACCTGTTTAAGGTTCATCGTAACAAATGGAGAAAAATGGGTGTAAAAATAAACTAATGAGAAACTTGGGATACAACTTTGAGATGTTCAGACTCCCTCTCAGGTAAAAACTGTATTGAATTGTATTGATTGTCCTTGATTGGCATGGACAATAGGCAGATAATAGATATCTACACAACTATAGGTGAGTTGAAGGGTGTAACTGAGTGGACAGTATCAAAAACAATTGAGGTGTTTGTTTATTTTTACACCTTCTGCAGGAACGAAAAGAAATGCCCATCAAAATCAAAAAAAGATTTTATCTTTCTGAAAAACAAAATGCATTTAACTTTTATATATCTAGAGGATGCCAGGCCTTAAAACTTTTCCAACTGCACAGGTTAGTCTGTAATCAGAGTAGTTTTTGAGGTGTAAATACAGCCATTTTTGTCCATTTGTTATGATGAACCTTAAGCGGTTCTATTGGTAAACATTACAAGCATACAAATTATATGTTTATTCTACATTAGCTACTGGTAAAGGGGGAGGGTTGAGACCTCACAAAACATGTTTAAACCAGTCACATATTTGCACCTGTCCCAAGTCATGAGCCTTTTGACAAGTTATGACTTATATTATAACTTATATGTTGTTGTCTTTCTTATCGTTTTATTTTACTTATTTAGTGAAAGACAACTAAGAATACCTTTCGGTATCCACCAGAGGGGGATTTAGGGGGCGGGACCCTGCCCCCCCCCCTTTTTGTGGGTAAAAATTGGTTGATTATATAGGGAGTCACTGAAGCATGACTGGAGCGGGCCCCCACTGTTTTAAACTTCTGGATCCGCCACTGTCCACACACCCGCACGATTACCACTTCAGGTGTTGGTTCACCTTGTTTAAATACATATAATTTATAACTGTCAATCATTCTTTATCTTATCTAATATAATTTGTATGTGCGAGCGCTACACTACACTATACCTGAGATGTTTAAGCTGCATGCTTTTATTCCTTTTTTTCGAAGACTGAGTACCTGATCTTGCATTAGAGAATTCAGAGGTGATGCAACCAGAACGGTCATTGGTTGTAGTCTATTAAGTTTCTTTTGAAAAAACCAAGGTAAAATCTGGAAGATCAGGCTTTTACCATAGCCAGTCGGTAACACTGAAATGCAGTCTTTGTTAAAATACAACGCCTTTAATGTTTCCAACTGCTTCTCTTTTAAAATTATATCTAACGATGAGAATAAGCCACTTTCAATCTTACAAAAGTTAATACAATCTTCAAAGGAAGCCATTTTGAAATTTTATCCTTCCACTAGCAGTAAACCGTTCATTTTCCGGCGAAGAAATGTAAGGCGTAGACACATATCACATACCGTATTACAGCCGAGGGATAGAAGGAGAGTAGCGGATTCACCCGAGGATTGCCGATTGATTTCGCGACGTCGCTTTAGATGTAGTCACATTTGCGGAAATCCACTGACGTCATAATCCCGATTGCGCGGATTAGAAAAAAGTACCTGCAATGAAAATCGGCCAAATCACGAGAATTGTTATATTTATTCATGAATAAGGAAGTCAACAATATTAACTTCGAATGGGAAAAATATCAAATCCACATTCCTAATTTTGTATGTCTGTTCTTTCATTTAGGAAATGAATAAGAGATATGAAAAACATAAGACGTCGATGAGAGAGAAACCCAACTACACAAAAAAAAAAAACAATAAGTAATGTATAAAGTAACTTCACCATTTGGCTAACTCTAAATCGTAATGAGAATTGTACGGATAAATTTAACAGAGACTATCAACAAAATGACAAAAAAAAAACGTAATAAATAATAACAGCGCATTCCTGACTTTGAAAAGGTACATTAAAGAATTTAACGGCATTTTTAGAATTTAACCCGTGGAATATATAAGTGTATGAAGAAGAACTGTCAGTTAAAATGACCCAGTTATAAGACACGTATTATAGACCAAAAACAAAAACGCACCCGTTGATATGCTAAGCATATCCTCTATGTACATATTGAGAGAGAAAAATCGGCACACAGGAATTATATAGTATTTGACAGACCAGAGTTGCAACTCATTGATGTTAAGTTACTGACCAAATACGAAGTCTTTTTGTAAAGTAGTTTCTCAGATAAGAAACAAAATATTTGTTGGACCGGACAAACAACGTGGTTGCACTCACTCCTAGATTGAAGGTATAATACAGACAAGTAATTCAATAATTATATGTACCGTAATAAAAATAAATACCCGGCTGAAGACAAGCTTTGGTAACTTATCTATTGATACAGAATCATTAAATTTCATGCTCTAATATCGACTGCTGTATGAAATGTTATACTAAACTGTAATGGACTTAGCTGACCCGATTTAATGAGGGTATTATTTTGTGTTCATGTAATGCCTATAGAGTAGGTCGTTAGTTTTCTTGTTTGAATTATTTCACATTTTCATGTCGGGGCTTTTTAAAGCTGACTATACGGTGTGGCTTTTTCTTTTTCTTTTTTTTTTGTGTTGAAGGCCGCGTAGGGTGACCTTTAATAGCGTTTATCTTCGTCATTTGAACTATGGTTGATTGTTGTCTCTTTTGCAATCATACCAAATGTCCTTATTTTTATATCATCCCCCTTACTTTATAATTGTTGCACATTTTGTCATGTCGGGGCCTTTTGAATAATTAAAACTATGTTCAAGCTGTGTTGTCTACATGAATTGTATTACTAATGTCGGACAGAGATGCAAATTAATTTTGTTATTATATATATCTATTTTGTTTCCGAACATTTCTTTTCTAAAAGTAATTTACTAGAATACTTTTTCTATCCAAGTTTCGTAACAATTCATAAAGGTTTGGCAAATATGATGCTATTTTACGAGGATCCAGCTTTATTAATTTTCATGATTAATATTATTGGTTTAAAAAAAACACCTTGGCTCTATCATTGAAATTGACAACGTAGTAGTGAACGGCGGGAAAGATTTCACGACGTTGTTGCGAATAAAACTTATTCCAACGTAGTTTGGCGCCTTATTGGCAAACGTCCCAATAAAAATTAAGGTTTATTGCTTTTATTGAAAAAACAAGCACATGGACCCCCAGTTTTTTCTTTTGCAATCGATCAAGTTCTGTTTCAAGAACGCTCCGCCAAAATTTTAAGAAAAAATCAACGATAGAATGTTTTCTGCACTTCTGTGTAGACGCAAAAATATTTTCAACTTCTTTATTTCACTTGTATTAAAAGAATTTAGGATATAATTATTTATTTCAACCGTTAACTTGTTACAGCATGCTGATGCCATGGATCAAGGGAACATTTTACAAAAAACCCGGTTAAATTATGACTGTTCGTTCAAAAGTATTGGTTCTTTCCTTAAAAGTCCTTATTTATGAATTTTCAGGGTTTTTACTTCAAATATGCAAATTTCGAACCAAATTATCTCAAAAAGTAAGTCATGAAGGTATATTTTTCTTTGCATATTTCAAAAGTACACGTCGGAATTGACCTTCTACCAAAATATCAAGAAAAAATCAACGAGGGATCTCTACTGTATCGTATGCCCTTAATGGAAAGAACATCATCAATATATCTGAAAGTGAAATTAAATAATCTGGCTTCTTTGATCTTCATGTTTTTGACAAAGTGTCTGAAGGAACTCCGATTCATATGAAAATAAGAAGAGGTCGGCAAGGACAGGCGCACAGTTCGTTCCCATAGGAATGCCGACAATTTGTTGAAAAAGTCCACCTCCAAATTCAACAAAAATGTTGTCGATAAGAAACTCCAGCATACTGATCACTTGTTCCTCTGTGTAGCATGCTCTATGGTCGGGTTGTTGTCTCTTTGACACATTCCCAATTTCCATTCTCAATTTTATTTACCCTTTTGTTCGCTATTAACAAAATATGCCTAATGGTATCCCAAAGTTATAAATTTATTTATTTGTTGAAAGGCATTGTGGATTATTTCTTTTAGGCGATTTTTCAAGTTCACAATGGGAATGGTAGTATACAGGGTTGAAAAATCAAAAGTTTTGATAGAACTTATCGAATGTTTACTCAATTTGGTTTGTGCCGAACCTTAGTTTCAGATCGTGGCTCAGAATTTGTCAATCAATGCACCGCTGGACTGTGTAAACTTTTAGAAGTGACACAAGAGTTCGCGCCCGCCTTTGCTCATCACTGTCTAGGAGCATGCGAAAGACAACATAGGACACTCAATGAACGCTTAGCTGCGCATGTTTTGAAAGAAAAATCATGGGAAACGGAGATCAATTCTGTTACTTTTTCAATGAATTCGTCAGTCAACAGTAGTATAGATTTTTCCCAGTTTGAAATTGTTTTCGGGAAACGTCCAAATTTCCCGTATTCGGTGCACATTTCAACCTGAATGATATTCATCCCAATATGCAAAATTATTTTTCGGATTTAAAGGATCGTCTTGAAACAATATGGGAAATGGTTGTGCAAAATGCTAAAGCTTCAGGAGAAAACATGGAAGAAAACGCAAACCTTAAACTAAATGAACTAAAACTTTCGATATGCGATTACGTATATTAACAAAGAACCCTAACCGGTCAGGGTAGAAAATTTCAGCCACTGTACGACGGACCATACATATAAGAGCACCAGATCCCCAAAATTATTTAGTACAAGTTCCACTGCAAAATCCCGTTTCAACAAGTTCCGATTCTGATTCCGAAAGTTCCCAACATGAAATAAATACTGAACAAGATATTCATCTACAAAATGATAATCCTACTCCGTTAAGGCGAACATCTCGGGTTGTTAAAAATCAGATACCGTGATGAAAATTTTCTAAGTGAATTAAGTTCATGCGATGGAGCTCAGGAAAAGATAAAGTGAATCCTGGCAAAGAAACAACACGGAAGTTCATTTCTCTATCTGGTGCAGTTGATAGGCGAGCCTGCACAAAATGCAAAATGAAAACCGTTGTCGGAGCTACCACTGAAAGCTCAGGAACTAATAATTTTTAGGCCACCTCCGCTAGTGTAGTACCGTGATTGTTTCAATAATGTTTGATAGCAAGATTATCACGCATTCAGTGCGCATTGATATATAGTAATTATTCGGTGATAATTGTATCGCCAAAGTGTAGTTTTTAACCGTTTACTTGTGTTTTTGTAAATACCTACGAAGATGTTCAAATGATCGGTGATGATTGCATCGCCACATACAGGTGATTTGGTGTTCGGTGATGATTGCATCGCCTAACTTGTTGGACAATGATGATGATATAATCGGTGATGATTGCATCGCCAAACGTGCTGAATCCAGATGTTGTGTTAATCAGTGATGATTGCATCGCTATTATATTCCTCCAGTACCAGGTACCAGTTATCGTTGATAACAGTTGACGATATTGAAACTTGTTTAACGTGTAAACATTTGATTTGTCTGTTATTGTATATCGAGATTTATTATTTCTGAATGTACTGTGTGTGACTGCCACACTTCTCTTATCATTGTATTATTTTTACTTGTTTTATTGGTCGTTTCATGAGTAGAGTTTGTGTCAAATGAGGTTGAATGACATGTTCTAGATATAAAACCTGTGTATGTTCCAATATTAGGAGTTTCAGGTGTCTGCTAGACTTATCAAATAGACTATGATTCCTCAATTGCATAACTGAAATAATGATTCATTTAAATGTTTTATGCATAAGACCAGAACAGTGATGAGAAGATATTACATTGTAAGAGGCGTGTGTGGTAGTCGGCATCAGAGATTTGTTAGTTTGAAGTTTAGTGAGAAACTTATACGATATTCCCGGGCTTGTATTTCCTATCATGATTTCCTTGATAGAGGATTGCTGCTCACAAGGAAGCTATTAAACCAAGAGTTCCAAATGGTGAAGTTGAAATCATCCCTTCGTAAAATTTATGGAATAACCGTTTCACAGATGATATCGGATATGTTCCTTATGTCGTAACTACAATACCCTTCCCTTTTCACGAATGTGACCTAATGAATTAGACTATTTACCGGATCTGTAATAAAATAAGCAACACGACGGGTGCCACATGTGGAGCAGGATCTGCTTACCCTTTCGGAGCACCCGAGATCACCCTCAGTTTTTGGTGGGGTTCGTGTTGCTTAGTCTTTAGTTTTCTATGATGTGTCATCTGTACTATTATTTGTCTGTTTGTCTTTTTATTTTTGGCCATGGCGTTGTCAGTTTGTATTCTATCTAAGAGTTTGACTGTCCATCTGGTATCTTTCGTCCCTCTTATATATATATTTTTTTAATTATCGTTTTGATTATGGTCGACTATAATGTTTGCTGTCTTATTATAGTTTCATATTCTCTGACCTACGTTTACCAACAACCATCTCGAAATTTTATCTTTCGAGGCAGTGATGTTATATACTTGATTTGTATATGGTTGTTGGAAACGAAGTTCAATACCGGATATCACAGGGGTGCTCCGGGATGATGTTTATAAAAATAGTAAACCACCTATATCATCTGTTTCATATTTCATTAGCATGCCTTCTTTCTCTCTCTTTCCCACCGCATGTTAAGGTAGTCACACACAAATATATTGAGAGCAGTAAAATTAGATTTTAGAAACGATTTCGTCCTTTAATCACAGGGGTGCTCCGGGATGATGTTTGTAAATAGTAAACCATCTATATCATCTGTATCATATTTCATTAGCATGCCTTCTCTCTCTCTCTTTCCCACCGCATGTTAAGGTAGTCACACACAAATATATTGAGAGCAGTAAAATTAGATTTTAGAAACGATTTCGTCCTTTAATCACAGGGGTGCTCCGGGATGATGTTTGTAAATAGTAAACCATCTATATCATCTGTATCATATTTCATTAGCATGCCTTCTCTCTCTCTCTTTCCCACCGCATGTTAAGGTAGTCACACACAAATACATTGAGAGCAGTAAAATTAGATTTTAGAAACGATTTCGTCCTTTATTAGTCCCCCAAGGACGTTGAACTTACGATATCGGAACAATTATTCGGTAATTTTTTTTGTACACATGTATCGAGTTATTTTCTTATTTTTGTTACGTATAGACACTGTTGTGATGGTAAGGAACTTTAATTATTTTTAAATATAATTACTATTGATTCCCGCTCAAGTTACTTTTAAAGACAAATCGTAATTAAAGTGTTTACTTTTGATGAATATGCGTAATTCAATGTGTAAGAACAATGTGTTTATTTGTTAACTTCTGTAAATTTTTTATTTCATTCAATTGCCAAAACATTGAAAAAAATATGTCATTCTTGTAAATGATGACATTTTTGCTATATGCAACTTTGCTTCTTCCCGAACTATCAATTTCGGGAAATAGGCAACTAATCTTATCACAAGAAGTGATTGCAAGTGTGAGCTGCTATTTCGCCAATTACATAGTTTGAGAACTGACCACACATTTCAAGAAGAATGACTGTATTGTGTATTATATCCAAGTAGCCGGTTTCATTATAAAGGCATTGAAGAAACGTTACTCAGTGTGTTATAAATTATCCACTGCAAGCAAATGTTTTGAACTGTACTAATAACATTACAATTTTAAATGCATATGGGAAATGGTTTAACAAATAGGACAGAAGGGGTCTTCGGAAACCAAGTGATACATTTTTCTTTCTTGTCAGAGAACTTGAAACAAGTGTGCATAAATTAATAGGTCAACCTTATAGTGTCAGCTCTCTGTCAAAAGTAGGACAGAAAGTCACAGACAAAATATTACAGGACAAAAAGTCACAATTCAGTTTTGAGATGGTTTTTCTTTTAACAAGAAAACACTTAATTTTAAATTTTGTTTTTCTTGAACTCTTAAATATAAAGCAATTTTGTTATCAAAATTTATGCAATAAATATCAATAATGATCAAATAATTGTTATGAAGACAAAATGTCAAAGTGGCTTGGTATTTAAATGGCTTCATGGTGCAAAGAATATATCCTTTGCATGATTAGAATTTAATAAATTTTTCATTTATCAAGACTTATGAACAATTTCCTAAACTTAAAAATGAATATATGTAATAAAAAGAAAATATTTTAAGATCTTTCTCTTATATATATTCGAACAATTATCAACAAATTATTTGTGACTTTTTGTCCCATCAAGTTTGTGACTTTGTGTCCTGTGACTTTTTGTCCTGTGACTTAATGTCTGTTTACCTCTCTGTCATAACAGCCGCTCAAATAGTCAATCATGGAATTATTCATGGTTACGTATTATACAGACATTATCTTGAGAAGAGAGACTTGTGTCATCTATCACAGAAGACTTCGTTCATCTTTTTCTGATTGTACGTTGGTACGCTTTCACATGTTTTGAAAGAAATAAGGTAAGCAGTAAAGCTTCATCTGGTTTACGTCACGTATTAAGGTGGTACCTAACACTACAGGGAGATAACTCTGTAAAAATCAGCTAAACGTTTTAATTACGTTGTATTGTTAAGGAAATATTAAGCTTCTCAATGACCAAAATTAGTGTTTGTCAAACTGCTATATAACCAATGAAATTTTTCTGATAAAGTGGTTGGTTCAAATTTTTTGAAATTTTTAAATATTTTTGTCAAAGGGTCAAAGTAAACATTTTGTCAAAATTTTATGAAAATTAAACGAGCCAAATTAATATTAGTCAAGGTGTTGGGTACCACCATAAGTGAAAAGTTTCTAATTTGTTTGACTTTTCTTTGTGTAACTTTCATGCACAATGTATGCTAGGTCGATAGCTATTTATGAATAATGTCTTGGTAAACATGATAACTAAAATGTTTATTATGTAACAGTATATACTTTTTGAACATTTTTGGCTTGTATTGACTTTATAGCATACATGTACATGTAAAACACTTTGACTTTTGTCTATCATGATATGAAATAAAGATAGACTGTATAATTGCTCACATCCACTTCATTTGAACTTTGGTGGACAATTGTCTCATTGGCAATCATACCACATCTCCTTTTTCTTATATGTCTTAACTTAAGGTGGATCAACACTAAATATTTCTTGAGACAGATTTTTTTTATATTTTGTGTAAATGCAGTTGATAAAATACTCTTTTGAAAAAAACAATAAAAAATAGGGGTCACCGTGCTTGTTTGGTCAGTACCCTTATCCAAAGTATTGTGTATTTTCGAGGTTTTTTACATAGATATTACAGGGAAATCGGCATTTGTAAATTTTCCCTAGTTCAGAAAAAAAATCCATGAGACAGATTTTTCTTATTTTCTCTAGAATTGTAGCAAAGATATAGATAAAAAAAATAATAATAAAAAAACATAGGGTCACCGTGCATTTTAAAGAAATATTTCATCATTTGCTTGAATATTTTCGGATTTTCAGGAAGGGGAGATAACTGTATCCAGATTTCCCGGGAAAAGATTAATATAAATACTCATTACTAATAGAACTAAATTAGGTAAATTCTAGGTCCTTATTATTATTTGAAACACTTTTGTGTTACAGATTTCTACTACAAAAATCCATGATAACCAATGATATCTCCATAGCAACCAAATAAATCAATTTATGCACTTGGAAATTAGAACATAGAGAAACATGTAAATTTGAGCATATTTATGTAGTACAAATTATAAGTCTTTATTGCTTAAATTGATTTCACAATCTGTTATTCTCTGCAAAATTATATTAAAGGAATGCCCCATAAGTTATTTTGAGATATCTGGACCAAAATTTGGGTAAAATCCAATTTTTTTAACACAAAATCACAAATTTTGAGAAACTAATTTTTGTACTTGAATTTCAACCAAATTTATATACAATTTAGAAAATGTTATCAAAACTTGGTTTTATACACCAACAATTATTTTGATCTTGTAGATTCTTCTTTTCGGTTTAAAAAAAAATCACAAATTTTGAACAATGACGTACAGGTAGGGTTAGGCATTCAAAATCATATCCCGATGTCAAAAAGTTTCAATATGTTGTAAAAACTAACTTTCTGATCCCGTAAAGTGGAGTTGCTCTAGAGGCATGCATGCAGTGGAAGATCCAGAAGTAGGGGTCTGCACTGGTCATGCTTCAGTGATTACCTACATATAAATCAACCAACCCCCCTTTTTTTTCTGCGTGCATCAATCTCTCCGTGAGTCTCATAAAAATGTGCAAGTGGTTTTCTAGTTGTCATCTTTTTACCTTGTTTTCATGTCAGTTTTCGTTATCATGTATTTTGAGGGAAAATGCTAATTTTGATGTACAATATGTGGATTTTGAGGATTATTATCTCTTTTTGCACAATTGACCAAAACATATTTTGAGTACTAGTCACCAACTTACCGTTTTTACCATGTTACAGATTTTAGTACAAGCCATTTTGCTAATGATAAATGCCATAAGGTGACCTATAGTAGCTGACTTCTACGCCTGAATAGTTGTCTCATTGTCAAAGATATCACACGTTCTTATTTTTACAATACAAATTTAATTAATGTATACATTTAAAACATTTTCACAAAAGAAAGCAAACAAAGACTTATGGCTGACCATGTGGTATGGGCTTTGCTTATTGTTGAAGACTTGATGGTTACCAATAGCTGTTTCTGCGTCATTTGTTCTCTAAAGGAGAGTTGTTACATTGGCAATCGAACCACATCTTTTTATTTTGCTGAACACACATTCTTTTTACAGGTTGATCAATAATTTGAAAGGGTCCTCTATATGTCAATCAGTAAACTGCAGCTTCTACTAGACACATAAATTGAAATTCATTATTTGAGTAAAAAAGAGATCAAAAGGTTAAAATTAAAATTTGTTTGCTAGAAAGAAAGATGTCAAATGGCTTTGTTGACTTTTATTCCCTATCCTTTGCATCCATGCCAAATTTAAAACAAATTGAAGAAAACACATGAGCTCAATCTGATGAAAGGGATCTGTATTATGTATCCAAGACATATATAATATTGCACTTATTCTGTTGCACAATATACAGAAAGAAATACAAGCATGAACTATAAGCAATTTTTATTAATTAATAGACTGGTAATTTAGTCCATTATGTATCATATTGTAAATATATATATATATATATATATATGAATATATAATGTTTGAATCCAAATTAACATTTGCAATTTTCATTATCTGTCACGTAATTTTTTTTATCACAGTTGTTACAAACACTTATTGTATTACATATTGAAAACTAAAATGTCAGTAGGAACAGTAAAATTTAAAAACCATCAGTCAAGATAAATCTGATAAAACTTGTTAATGAAAAGAAAAATATTTGCAACCTGTATAAAATTTAAACCACATCAACTCTTATTGATCTTTGCATAGTGTTTGAATTCTTTATTTGATAAAATGATAAAAGGCAAAATAAATTCCAGCACATATTAACAGACATATATGCAAGAACAGTACTTCATCATAACCCTTCATGTACAAGCTTGGTCAAATAACAAACCAGATACTCACATGAACATGTATTTTCTCATATAAATTTTCTATAAATTTTCTTTAAAACATTTTTTTATAACAAATCATTCTCACAAGTCTTTATTTAATAGTATCATTCTGAAAAAATATCTATTTTACAAATTTCGTTAATAATCATGTTAATTTTGGATAAAATTTTACCAACAAGTGTCGTAACAAGATATAATATTCCATTTTTAATTAATTGAAATTTGCCTCCTAAATTAAGATATGAAATGTGAACAGAAGACAAGAATTACCACAAACTGATGGCAACAGCTCACAAATCCTTAAATAAGTAGTGATATTATACAATGACAGTACAAATTATAAACATGTTATAAACTATATATCAGGTAGATATAAGTTTAAGTGGTCTTTTTCAAGTCTAACAAATTACATTCACTAATATGGATCACACAACATGTGTGTGGTACACAATATGATCATTCTTACTGTGGTAAAACAAAATGTCATCTTTGACTTTAAATCCTTCATACAATTAAAGAACTATAGACAACATTATAAAATTTTATAAAAAATTTTACTACTAAAATTCTATTTCCTGACATTCAGCATGGACGGATCAATCAAATTGCTAAAAAATAAGGTATGCGTAGTAGACTACAGGACCGGTCAAAATTTTCTAATCTCTTATCCAAAAATTTAGCTCACAAACAAATATTAACTTTAACATTTATGGTGCAATGTAGTATTTAAATCTTTATATTATATATATTGACCTGATTCTCCATAAGGTCAAAGATTTAGCATCCTAAGAAATAGGTTTCTTTGATAATAACAATTATTGCTAATTGATATAATAGAAGCTTGGTCACAGAAGCAAGTATGTCTGTAGATTAAAATTTCTGTTAATCTCTAGTAGCATTCACCATAATTGTTCCATTTAAATTCTACAATGTATATATAATCAGATTCATATGGAATCTAAAACAATTTACTCTTCATTTCATATAACAAAAAAATCATACACCTTCTGAATGATAGATTTTGATGTTGTAACACGTACTACACCTGAACTATTTTTTTGAGACAAAAGTGCCCTCAGTCCATCAATACCATTTCTTTGAATTGACAAAATAAAATGCTTCTTGCACAACCCAGTTGAAGCTGCCTTTTTGGCTAATTGTTTTGACATTACTTTATTTTCAACAAGAGCTTTGAAAGATAAGTCATTTTGGCAATATTTTGGGTACATTCCATCAAATGTATACTTACAGAAATGAGAAGCTAAATTTCCATGTGATCGCACCAGTTTAAATAAAGATTTACAGTCATACAAAGCATTATGTGCATCATAACTTTCCCCTAAAAAATCTGACACTAAATCACACTGCTTGTAACTTTGACGACCTGGATATTCACTCCTAAACAATATTCTTGTGTCAATGAACCCATTAAAATACAGGCAAAATTCATCCCACATCTTCAATTTATTCAATTGATTATACAGTATATGGCAGTCAAACGTTTTTATATTGTGTCCAACAAGTGTTGGTTTAGAAGGAAACTTGGACAAAAAAGCAATAAGATTAGTAAAGACTTCAAATGGTGGTGAACTTTCCACAGGAACTTCATCATAGTACATTTGCCCATCAAAGAATGCAAGTTTTGTTATATCAGATGCCTGTGGTGTTATCTTCTTTGATGGCATAACATAGGCTGAGAAAGTTTCATTCTCAGTTAAAGCTGCTATCTGTACAATATCTGACTGACGAGCTGAAATTTTTAAAATGATCTGTTAATCAAACTCAATAGATATAAGAAGATGAGGTATGAGTGAACTGTCCATCCAAGTCACAATTTATTAAAGTAAACTATTATAGATCAAAGTACGTCCTTTAATATGGACCCTTAGCTCACACCCAACTACAAGCTAATAAAATGCTCTGCTGCGGCACAGCTTGATACGACTGTAGAGGTCGAACCCTGAAAACCAGTTGGGGCAAGTATGGACACAACATTCAAGCTTGATACAGCACTGAATTTGGATTGTAATTAAATATTTGACACAGCATAGGTTTCTGACACAGAATGAAAGTGGTCTAAGAACTTAAAAAAATTTAATTTACCTATTCAAACCATATCATTATTATTTGCTTTTATATATAAATCAGAAATAACCAATTTAAAATGGAAAATTTTAAAGAAAAAAAAGGAAAAAAAAATCCCCCCAAAATTTTTTGAACCCCCTTATGATTCATCACCCCCAAACTCAATCCCAGCCTTCCCTTTGTGGTATGGTACCTTGCAGTACAATTTCAGAGAGATCCATACACTTGAACACAAGTTATTGTCTGGAAACTAGAAAAATGCTTGTTTTTGGCCCCTTTTTGGCCCCAAATTCCTAAACGTTTAGGGCAATTACCCCCAAACTCAAACCCAGCTTTCCCTTTGTGATATGGAACCTTGCAGTACAATTTCATAAAGATCCATACACTTACACACAAGTTATTGTCCTGAAAGTAGAAAAATGCTTGTTTTTTGGCCCTTTTATGGCCCCTAATTCCTAAAATTTTGAAGGAATTACCCCTAAAATCAATCCCAGCCTTCCTTTTGTGGTATGGTACCTTGCAGTACAATTTCAGAGAGATCCATACACCTGAACACAAGTTATTGTCTGGAAACTAGAAAAATGCTTATTTTTGGCCCCTTTTTGGCCCCTTATTCCTAAACATTTTGGGCAATTACCCCCAAACTCAATTCCAGCTTCGGAACATCAGGTAAATGAATTTATTCTTAAATTTATGAAATAAAAGGGTTAATTTTTCAAAAAATAAAATTAACCTCTGTATTTCTGTAATTGTTTTGTACATAAATCAGGTGGTTATTTTTTTTCTGGTTTTGTCATTTTGTGGCCTTCCATACCTGACTGTGTGGTATGAGTATTGCCCATTGTCAAAGGCTATATGATAACCTATAGTTAACCTCTTTGCCATTTAGTCTCTGGTAGAGAATTGTCTCATTTGGCAACCATACTACATCTTCTTATTTTATAATCATTATGATAACTTCAAAACAGGAACAACTGAAAATGCCAAGGATGGTTCTGTATATATCAGAGTTTTATTGTTGTGTAATAGCAATGACTTAGGCACATTTAGTATTCATTGGGGAATCAATTAATAATTAGAATATTTTATTGTGAGAATATACCCAATACTATTACAAAAAAGAGGCATTCAATTCTTGTAATTATATTATTAAGCTACCACCCAATGAGTAATATCACGATTTTGTTCTTTTCCCATGCATCATTGTGACATTGTCATGGGAAGCACACACATTTATGAATGTTGTATTTTTTTGGAGAAAAGAAAGATATTTTGGAATTCTTTGTGATTTTTGTTAGCCAGCAAAAGTATACATTTTTAAGAAATGTAATTTCATGTAAAAATGAAGCTGTTAACACCAATAAATTTTGATTGATTATGTCTCAGATACACATAAATTTCTCTATAGGAATACATACACAAGCCTGTAGTTTCAAGATCAAATACTATAATTGGAAAGTTTTCCTCAGCTGTTATCTGTTTCCAAGTTGGAATTTCTTCTAGTTGGTCAGTTATATCATCCTCTATGTCTACAAAATAGTATTAGTTACACAGTGTGTAATTGTCCTAATACAAGAATTTATCAGGTGAATAAAATTCATATTCATTGAGGCAAAGCAAAACCCGATATGAATTTTATTCACAAAATAAATTCCATATTAGGACAATTGCACATGTGTAAAGAATTTCTCCTGATTTTGTTATATTACATATTATTATATTCATATTCAATTATTTGGACAATACCAACGAAATATATTTAGACATTTAATCTTAAATTTGAAAAATAAGTATTAGGAATTTAAAACCACTAATTTTTCTTGGTTTTTTTTCATTATGTCAATGGTATAAGGGAGATAATTCCAATTTATGTAATAGAAAATTGTACTGAAATTTATTAAACCAATATCAGGTAATCAAATTGCGAGAAATTACTCTAAATCATGATAAATATTCTTGTTATTTGATTATTGCTTTACATTTGGTTTATTTTTTTTTTAGTTTATTGTGCTAATGAGGATAATAGTTAAAGAAAGAGTTATTATATGTCATTTTGTAACTTGTGGAAAGTTGTCTCATTGGCAATTATAAACTGTTATATATTTGTTGCAAACGATGTTGTATTAGAATTATATTTGGCTTATAACCAGAAGCTTTGAGAAGTTTGCTAGGGCTTATTTGGATTAACTGTGACATGAATGAGAAAATTTGATTTAAAATATGTTGATAGGTAAGGCATGAGTTTCTTTTCAAAGGAAAAACTGAATGTGAAACGTGAATGAATAAAAAATGACTATGGATGCAAAATGATGGTATTACCTCACCATTGCATCCAGCAAGGTGAGCTTTAAATGAAAAGTGGCATGCTCCTGTATTGTAATTGTGTCAAACATGATATTTAATAAAAATGCTCCGCAGGGCGCAGCTTGATACGACCGCAGAGGTCGAACCCTGAACAGTTGGGGCAAGTATGGACACAACATTCAAGCTTGATACAGCTTTGCATTTGGATTGTGATTAAATATTTGACACAGCATAGGTTTCTGACACAGAATGAATGTGGTCTAAGAACTTGAAAATTTTAAATTGGACATTCACCTATTATGGTCCAATATCCAAAATCTAAATACATGGTTAGATTCAGCATATCAAAGAACCCCAAGAATTCAATTTTTTATGAAATCAAACAAAGTTTAATTTTGGACCCTTTTGACCTCAATGTGGACAAAGTTGATGACGGGGCCCAAAAATCAAAAATCTAAATACATGGTTAGATTCAGCATATAAAGGAACCCCATATATTCAATTTCTGTTGAAATCAAACAAAGTTTAATTTTGGACCCCAATTTGGACCAACTTGAAAACTGGGCCAAAAATCAAAAATCTAAATACATGTTTAGATTCAGCATATCAAAGAACCTCATATATTCAATTTTTGCTAAAATCAAACAAAGTTTAATTTTGGACCCTTTGGACCTTAATGTAGACCAATTTGAAAACTGGACCCAAAATTAAAAATCTAAATACACTGTTGGATTCGGCATAACAAATAAATAAATGTGATCAAAGATTTTACAAATCTAATGCGCCATACTGTGCAATTAAAGATTTCTTCTTGAAATTTTTCAATATTTGAAATTTGAAAAAAGAATAATATTTGAAGAATAATTTTTTTAATTTCTGAAATCTGAAATGAGAAAAATTGACCCCCCACAATTTCTTATATCCCCCCCCCCTTTTTTCCCCCCAAAAATTCTTTCCCTCAAGATATGGTCATAATCTCAATTCAAATTTCCAATGGAGTTGGCAACCATAATTACCCATTTAAATTTACCATAGTGCTAACTTAATCTATTTTATAATAGAATTAAAAATATAGTGTCAAGTCTTTCATATGGATTTTTTTGTAAAAAAAAAAGATGCAACATTTGCAGATATTTTTACTGGTCTTCCTTTATAAATATGCATTTCTTTAAACATAATTTAAAAGCAGTGTAAGGGAAGTAACCAAAACGTTGTATTTGGATTACCTCCCTTACACTGTTTTGAATTATCTTTATTGTTCATTAACCATTACTTTATACATAATTTAAAAGCAGTGTAAGGGAGATAATTTCAATGATGTATTTGATTTATCTCCCTTACACTGCTTTAAATTATGTTTTGTACTAAAGTATTTGTCCATTAACCAGGACAACCTTGTTTTTCCCCCTTTTTTGCCCCTAATTCCTAAACGGTTTGAGCCATAACCCCCCCAAAGCAAATCCTAACCATCCCTTTGTGGTATGGAAACTTGTAGTATAATTTCAGAGAGATCCATACACCATTCCACAGTTATTGTCTGGAAACTAGAAAATGCTTATTTTTGGCCCCGTTTTGGCCCCTAATTCCTTAGCTGTTGGTACCACAACCCCCAAAATCAATCCCAACCTTCCTTTTGTGGTATTTAACCTTATGGTCAAATTTCAAAAAGATCCATTTACTTAAACTAAAGTTAGAGTGCGAAAACCAATGTGTCTTCGGACGACGCCGGACAACAACGACGACGCCAACATCATACCAATATACGACCAAAAAAATTTTTTGGCGGTCGTATAAAAACAGAAAGAAGATGCATGTACCAATATTGGTTTCATAAGTTGTTCCCTCTAGAACTTCTGCTATACCATTGCTGTTACATTTCTCCGACTTTAGCTCAATTCTTCTCCTTTTATATTTCCTCGTCTTCTGTAATTTACTGTACTTTCTTCTGATCTTATCCATGAAGGTAGCACGCTTTATGGTAAAATTGCCTGGTGAGAGCCCCATTGATTCATGAACCTGTTAAAATGCATGTCAGAAAAAATATTTAATAATTACAACAGTATACATGTGCCATTCTCAACTTTAATCTTAATATTGTACACACTCACTGACTGAAATGTTATGACTAAAATTTGAAGTCGATATATGTCTCTGTTTGTATACCTTGCCGACTCTACATAAATATTATTAAAATATTATAATATTGAGGATTCATTTATTTTGATGGGTAGCAAATTTCATGAATTTCTGAAACCTTGGGTTTACCATGTTTATGTGAATGTGATGTTGTGGTTCTGTCAAAGTCTGGATACAACTTTAGAAAAATTTAATAAAGAATTACAGATGTTGTTCTAAATAGTTCATTTAATTACCTCATGCACATATCTGTGGCCTTCATTTTTCTGTGCCACTGTTGCACTAAACCTGTAACTGAGACTGTTAGATGCAGAATAATGTTTATATTTAGGTGCTTTTGTTGCTAACATTTGGTTGAGATTTTCATTTGTTTGAGTGCTAGCAAGATTTGCAAGTTTTTCTGCTTGAATTGATAATTTTTTAATAAAAATTCTATCTAGTTCCTTCCTCAGCTCTGGATTTTGAAGTGGTTTGCCGTATGGTAACTTACTAAATTTTGCCGAAGGGTGTTCAAGGAAGACACACCACTTGGTATTACAGAAGCTATGGTCACCAAAAATATGTCCTACCATTGCTTTCAAGCCAGTTGTTACACCTTCTGTGTTTTTTTTATTTTGCGCAACCATGTATGAAAAATTCTGCATGATGTAATTGATGACCCTTTGTGACAATTCTTTGTAATTCTTTTTTATTGCATATAACTGTTTTGATATGTTTTTCTTGATATGGTTTTTGTCCGATCTTTTCTTAAGTTTTATTTTAAGAACGTTTTGTGCCCTTTGAAAACCTGTAGTGTCATCATCACCAGCAATTTCTTTAATATCGACACCCTTATTTATTACATCTTTTATCATATCAACCACTAAAGCTGGCTCCATGCCTTTAGATGAGCCTGTATGGTTTTTGCTGCATTTGTGCTCTTTTGGAACTATACCTTTTCTTTTGGCAACATCACAAGTCCTGCAATTTTTTGATTTTATTTTTACATTCAATACCTTCCCGGTCTTCTGTCCAATCAGTGATGCACATCCTAAAACATGCATAACATATCAAAAGATTTAATGTTGTTAGTATAGAAACATGATATATTTTGTGCATGTTATCAATAGGATAATAACAAGCATTCTGTGAGCATTTCCTGGCAATACATAGTCCCCTAACAGATTAAAATTACATTGTACTAGAACAAAATGTTAACCAGAACTATAACTTGTCATTGTGTAAACTATATAACAAATATCAAGTCATTGTATTCAAAACAGATAAACAAAAAAATTTTGAACATTTATTATCTGAGTGAATTTTTTTATGTCCAAGGACCTTAACTCTGCACAAAATAATCAGCCTGGAACTTAATTCGAACTTGATATTTAACTTGTCATGATAAAACTATATACCAATTTTCAAATAAATATCTTCAAGCAAGAAGAAAAGATGAGGAAAACTGATTAAGTGAATGAATTTCCTAAGTACAAGGACCATAACTCTCTACAAAATCATTAGACCAAACCAAAACTGAACTTGATCTGTAACTTGTCATGATAAGACTATATACCAATCATCAAATTACTATCTCAAAGCATGACTAAAAATTTGTGTAAAACTTATTATTTGAGTTGAACATCAATTGATACTTCAAAATAATATTCTTCAATTTTTTAAACATAACAAATACTAATTTATATAGTGTTAATTGTGTTACTATACCAGACAAACTATTATAGGATTTCCCGGAGCCTTTTTTTTGCCAACAGGTATCAGTGGAAACTGCAATCCCTTTGTTTTCTCCATTGTCATCAGAATCTATTGATAAAATAAAAAAAACATGTATACAAAAAATTGCAGAGAATAGCAAATTGATCCCAAGTTATATACAATATTTACTTCGTACATTATGAGAAAAAATATAAATAACTTGTATGAGCTGTATAAACTGGACTAAAAGTGAGACTTTTTTAAGCTTTTCTGGCTTTTGTAGAGAGTACAAATAAATTTTATATTTCAGACAATGTAAATATATATTTGTATTTTTATCAATCTGATGAGTTAAGTCTTTTTCAACTGATTTTTATACCTCGTTCTTATATTGTACTGTTACACCACTTGTTCTTATATTGTTATGTTATACCACTGTCACTGTCCCAGGTTAGGGGAGGGTTGGGATCCTGCTAACATGTTAAAACCCACCACATTCTGTATGTATGTGCCTGTCCCATATTAGGAGCCTTACATTCAGTGGTTGTTGTTTGTTTAGGTGTTACATTTTTGTTTTTCGTTCATTTTTTTGTACATAAATTAGGCTGTTAGTTTTCTTCAGAGGCGGATTAAGAGGGGGGCTTAGGGGGCCTGGGCCCCCTTTTTCTGGTAAAAATTGGTTGATTATATAGGGAATTACTGAGGGGGGCTTAGGGGGCCTGGGCCCCCTTTTTCTGGTAAAAAATTGGTTGATTTTATAGGGAATCACTGAATCATGAATGAAGTGGGCCCCCTTTTATGTCGTCAGTGGGCCCCACTTATGAAAATTTCTAGATCTGCCACTGTTCTTGTTTGAATTGTTTTACATTGTCATTTCAAGGCCTTTCTTAGCTGATAATGTGGTATGGGCTTTGCTCATTGTTAAAGGCCATATTGTGACCTATTATTTCTGTGTCATTTGGTCTCTTGAGGAGAGTTGTCTCATTGGCAATTATAATATATTTTTTTTTTTATATTGTTTTTAATCTGCAATTTACACCTGGCACTTTTGTAAAGAGGACCCCAAAATAATATGTGTATATTGACGGTAAGGGTCAAAAGTTAATAATTGATGCTGATTGGCCTCCTACCCACTACTTAGATGACATGATATAGTTTAAGAATTTCTGGACAGTTTGTAAAACTCGATAATTACCATGAATAACGAGCAAAAAAACATGCCTAAGTTACAACAAACCATGAGTATTTTCCTGTAAATTAGACTCTATATTTAGATATTTTATCATGGACTCTTCAGCATATGAATCCAATGCTGCCCCAACTTCTTCTTCTCTCGTCTTTAACCCAGATACGCTCAAATAGTGAAGATTCACCGAAGCCAACAGATTACTAAGTTGGGTCTCACCAAGGCCTACGTGAAGCATTCCTGTTGAAAATGAAATTATTGCATTGATTTGTATCAAACATGTTAAAAATGAATTAAAGTACAAACTTCCTTAGTACCAGCAATAAATATTTGATTTAAAGATCACTGATAATGCTTCTTCTGATGACAAAAAAGTAGTATAACTTGTGTATATACATGAAGTGTATTGCAAACAAATGTATAAAAAAGTATAAGGTGTGTGTATAGACTTAGTGTAAAGTACATGTAAGTTAATACATGTATATAATAAATTATAATTTGTGTATGTTAAGTACATGTATATAGTGTATTTAGTAGGTTTATATTTAAAAAAATAGTTTAACTTGTGAGTAAAGTGTACAAGTAATTTAACATGTTTAATATTAATTTATTTTCAATACAAATCTTATTAATAGATATATATATATAAACTCCTATGCTGATCTTACTAAAATTTGTAATTTCAAACCCATATATGTTTCTTTCAATATGTCTGTGTTTTAAAATTTTAAATATAGGAAAAAGAAAAAGTATAATGAAATTAACACAAATCTGGAAGACCTCTGACATCAGTACATGAAATAGCTGTAATTATGCATGGTTATTGTTTATTATATTATTTATACTTTAGCAAATTTATCAAACAATTTTTGCCACACATGGAGCCATTCCAATTTTATAAAGTGTTTATAGGAGCTGCTTAATAACAAAGAATTACAAACAGTTGACATAAATAAACTAGTTTAAATATATCATGTACTGATCTCAAAAAATGCTTACCAATGAAAATAAAACAATCAACAGTCTTCTCTGAAATGTCCATGCAAAACATATTGTACATCATTCTCTTCAGGTTTCCATCAGTTCAATTTAAAATTTAAATTACAGATTAAACAAATGGTAAACTATTCTCTTCAGATTCCACCATTTGACACGGAAACCAGCATGGCAAGGAAAGAAAATCAACTGATTTACTCGTTTCTTTCACAATGCACAGTCCTAGCTGTTAGGGGAATTGAGCACTCACGAACTCATTAACCCATCAGCATTCTTAATGTGCTTGTCCCAAGTCAGGAGACTGTACAATCAAGTTCAGTGGTTGTTGTTGGTTCATGTCTGTCATATAGGTTTTTCATCAATTTCTTGGTTTTAAATTAGTCTGTCTATAGTCTTCATAATTGAATTGTCTTATATTTTTCATGTCAGGTATTAAATAGCTGACTATGCCATGACATCAATTTTTCTCCTTGTTGAAGGTATTATGGTTGCCTTTAATTGCTTACATCCACTTTATTTATGTTGTTTTTATTGTACATGCATGACATGTACATGTGGATGCATCATTTTAATCAGTTCACCAAAATCAATTTCTGATATCCCTTTCCTTTTTGGCTGTCAATGTCATACATGTATATAACAGTACTGCATTTTAAGGCCTTTAAAACAGATTTATGTCAAACACAATTTACAATGGGGTAACTGTTTAAGCCAAATTTCTCCATGACCCACCAAGAAAAGGGTTACATGACTGAATTAAACCTGAAGAAAAAAAATCATTTATTGATCACATATATAACAAAAATGAAAAAGTAACACAAAAATACAGTTATAATTTTTCAGAGTGCCATTCATGTACCTGTTGCAATTTTGGTGTTTACATCAAAAACTCCTGGACCCCTTTTGCTCGGTGATGTAAAATGACGCTTTGACAGTGGGATTTTCTTAACTCGAATACATTGCTTACATTCTATGTAAAGCCATCCTCCTAACCCTCTTGGTAAAACACCTAATGAATCCTTCAGATGAAGGGGTTTCATACAATTTGAACATGACTCAAGGCCTTGAATAATCAGATCAATTTCAATAATAAATCTACAAAAATTTAAAGGAACTAGGTTGTCTGGTAGTATATCAGTTCTATCATATATAAGTTCATCTTCTTCATCACTTCTGCCTCCGGCGATATTTGATACAGGTTTTATAACATTTAAATTGTCACTAACAGTAACACAATAATCGTGTTCCTCTCTTATTCCAGATGCCAAATTTGAATTACTCTGACTTTTCTGATGTCTGATTTTCATAAACGACGCAGATTTGCTTATTAATTTGTTTGTCGAAAATTTACCCTTTTTAAATTTTAAAAATACCATTTCATATCGTTGCTTCAGGAGACTGTACCCTTATCGTTGCTGTGTTGATATTTACATTTTCCGGTTGATCGACGCTGAAGAATTTCGAGTTTCCGGTAGAAAGTCGTAAATATAAAATGCGTTGGAAAAGGATCTTTATAAAATAATGATTAAGTTTTTGATCATTTATTAATAAATAAATTACCTCTTTAATAGTGAAAAAAAAACATATTTTCATAAATCAATCCCCAAATAATATTTCAACATCTGACAGTCTTCGGATCGTAGTTGCGCAAGTTTTATGCGCGGTGGTATTCAAATGACTTACCTGATTTTCGCACATGTTTTATGTATGGGCTTTTGGTTTCACGTGAGAAATGTTATTGACTTGCTATGCTGTAAGGGTTTTGATAATTGTGTACGATGACATACGTATAGACTACTAGTTGCTAAAATCTTTATTAGATATTGGTTGGATAGTTGACTCATTTTCGCTCATACGATGTCTCCTAATTTTGCTACATGTACTCATAGACATTAATCACACATATTTATATGAAAAACTGGACTAATTATGGCAATGGCAGGAAAGAGAATAATTAATATACACTCACCACCAAGGAGTTTTATGCTTTTAGCAGGTTCGCAGAATATTATATGAATCTGACATGTAAAGGAATTTGATAAATGATGTCCAATAATTTTTTTTTCATTAAAAAGTGCCGGAGAAGACGTTTTTTGAAAACTCATTCATCAAAATCTTCATGTTTCTATCAAATTTACACCTTATTTACTATTTTGATAGCATAGTACTTAACTCATCTGGTAACAAAGTGTAAAGACAAGATATTATTTGGCTTAAATCCTTACAATAGTAATATAAAAGAAACTTGTCCAAGATATTTGTTGTTCAAGAAATCAACAACAAAAATGGCGGCTTAAATTATAGGGGAAGTCACATCTAGAAGAAAAATGCTTAGATTATTGACATTACTATTCATAATCACCTACATAAGGATAATGAGACAACCAAAGATCATCCTTAATGAACCAGAGTGTATAACAAACTTCAAATTTGATTACAACCCCTATCCGGAACCAGTTGCTGAACATCTCCAGACCTATTTAAGCTTGTAAATACATCAAACTGCCTTCAAGCTCAATATGAACGACACAGTAAAGGTCTTCTGCAATATCTTGTATTTATCTTGTAAATAAATGCGATTGACATCGAAATAAATCCAGGTCCCCTATGAATACCACTACAAATAAAGATAGACAATACTTATGTGGAACCTGTGATGAATCAGTAAATTGGTCTCAAAAGGGTATCATTTGTGAAACATGTGACCAATGGTATCATGCAAATTGCCAAGGCGTACACACTGCCTCATATCATGACCTAAATGAAACAAACCTAAGTAGGCACTGCTTAATTTGTAATGCACCTAACTATAGTGACACAGTCTATGGTGTACCATTTGGTTCAAAAGGTATTTTTATCGGTTAACCGCTATTTATATGTCGGTTAACCGCTATTTTTATGATATTTACAATTGGAAATGCAAGCTAGTCGTAGGTGCTTACTTGAAATTACACGGGTATAACCAACGTATGGTTGATTCCAGACGTGCGTTGTGTACCGTTCGTCGATTTTTTTTTCTATGTACGTTGGTTGTGTGTATTCGTCATAGTTCTGTACCATTCGTAAGTCAGTAAAACATCGAGAAAAAAAATTAGCTGTTTCTATTGAAATACCTATCTTTTATTTTTTGTTAGCAAGCATTTGAAACTACTAAAACTATTTGACATTTCTAACATTTCATATTCAAGATTAAAACAACCTGAATTTTGTATTTGTTTGACGTTCCAGAACTGGAGCCAGAGAATTGGCAGCGCCTGATTGCAATCCAGTTTCTTAGAAATCCAGTATTTTGAGCTTGAATTCAAAGGTCAAGCTCACTCGAAGGTCAAGGTGATATGCGTCACATCGCCTTAAGGTGATACACGTTCATATCATGCATATTCAAATATATTTGGTGAGGTTGATATTAGTGTGTAATGGATCCGAAAATATACTGGAGTAGAACATCCATGAATATAATGTTTTTCTTAAGCTTTGTAAGCTTTTAAAATTTGTCACGCCGTTTCATACATATTTCTACAATAATCATTGGCTTTAGCACAACGAACAGTACAAAAATGTACAACGAACGGTGCTCAAGAGAGCAAACAAACTACAAAGAGAATGAATTGTACAGTGCCAAAAATCTGAGGTCAGTTTTTTCAAGTAAATGTCTGCAAATAAAATAAAACAATAAAAATGAAGATTGTTTTGTGAATGCTATTTGTTATCTCAGATGCATCCATTAAAGCTATTTTCCTAATGCTTGTAGTTCAAAGGTTTGGTTGGATTGCTTGCTTTGTTTGTATAAATGTTTGCTCAATCTTGATTACAATGTTTGTGCAAACATTTATACAAAGCAAGCAAACCAACCACACCTTTAAACTACAAGCATTAGGAAAATAGCTTTATCTTCTTTTTTTTTTTATATCTAATGACGTTTTATTAGTTTGTGATGTAGATTAAGACCGAAACCGAAAACTTTGCTTTATCGGTGACGTGGATTGGCTTTACTGTCCAAGATATATGCATTCAATGATGGCAAAGGAAAGGATAAAATGTATCCTACATATAGATCTGGACAAATTAGAGAAAATACAATTGACTATATTAGCAATAAATGCTATTTTTATGGAATTTATTGATATATTACCTCAGACTTTCACTCACAAAGTATGCATATATTATCAGTCCTTCTGACTTTTTTTCATACATTTTGTTAAAGAATCGGCTGAATTAAGACTTTATATGATGAAAATTAATTAATGTCCTTCTGTGAAAATGCATCGCATATACAATAGAAATGAATCGCCCTACAGTGAAAATGAAAGTCAAGTATCATTATTCGACGGTTAACATAAATCGCATAACGAAACCAGCATAGTGGAATTTAATTCAATATCAACAAGCTAAACGACAATTCCTGTTTTCAGTTATACAACATTAATAATTATGTTAAAAGGTACATTTTTGTGCAAATGAAACTTAACTGTTGCTTTTAAATCTCTTACACGCTCTGTTCGTGAACTATTGTTAATATTTATCTATTTATGTATCAATTTTACACCAGGGTGGTTGTAGGCGCGATGAAAACCCGTTTGCATCTCTTACCTATATATATATATATCATGAATTTATAAAAACGGTACATATTATATTTTATTCAAAAATCATGAATGTGTAGTCTGTTTATGTATCCTTCTACATTAGAAATTCATAGCGGATACAGTGAAAATGATATTTTAGGATTCGGACATTATATACACTGCTTATCGACTGGCAAAATAAAAAGCTCAAACACAACAATGAATGGAAAACAACTGTCATATTTCTGAATTGATACAGAATTCTGTCATTCGTGGAAAATTATACAAAAAAAAACCCACTGAGAATATATATGTACCCTCTCTATAAGTAAAACACTCTGCGCAACATAAAAGTTCCAGCTTGAAATTATACATTTGGGAGGAGTTAGCCGGAGTCTGTACTCTGCGTGCCTTTATTTATTATCAAAATGCCATATTCAACAACCTGTCATTTAAAAAATAATCATGACGATATGCACACCTTTAGTATATGCAGTAACATGAAGTACATAATTAAAAAAATTAAAGCTTAAAAACTGCAGTCCTAAGAAATTAGTCGTATAAACCCTATATACCAAGTGATGGATGAACGCTCGAACGGACACGAGTAAAACAAGATGCTCCAGTCATTTTTTCGAGGGAGCAAAATGTATATTAGCGTATATATGATGATGTTCTATTTTATAAGGTATTTGGTGACAAAATATCTTTTTGAATATATGCAGTTGATAGTTCATAGTTGAATGGTAATTTGTAGCAATGTAAGCAAGCTAACATCTACATCATTTGGTCTTTGGTAGAAAGTTGTCTTATTGGCAATCATGCCACAACTCCTTATTTCATAATTGTTTCAGTTTTCTCCCGAAATACAAGAATTTTAGACTTTAACAAATGTGTACTAGGAGACACAATATATAATGCTACTGTGATCATTAAAATCTGGCTATTGTTGTGAACATGTGGTGTTATAATTTGATAGATCTAATACTTGCTATTCTAAATATACATGTTAACTTTCTATTTCAAGGGACCAACGAATCTTAACTAAAACTACAAATTAGCAGTAAAAAAAATACCCGTCCATCTTGCATTATATATCCCACATCTCCATTTATTCACACAAAAAATTACCATCACTTTTAACACCTTTTTCACATACATACTTGTATACTTGTTATA